TGCCACTTATAAAAAAGAGGGTGGATTCCTTTTCCAGTTTTTTTTTTTTTTTTTTTTTGTCAAAAAATTTGTAGGTGAGGTGAGCTCTATAGTCCGGAAAATACGATAGTCAAAGATTATTTTTCAAATACTTTATTTTCTTCAACCATGCATGCATAAGCCATCCTTATCTTTTATTCTCTTGCACCACCCATCTTTTGATATGCAAAACCCTTTGTACGAGTTTCAGGGTGTTATGAACCACACTGTGTATGTGCTCCAGATGACTGTCATTGACAAACACAATTCTCATTCCCTTTCTCTTCCTCTCTGGTGTCACTCTACTTCTGCATTCACAAACTAAAACCATTCAGGTTGCTATTCCTTTTGAACAGGGCGTGCTTCGAGGTATTATAGCTTAAAGCTATTATACGTATTATAATATAATAAAGACGGCAAACAAATCCTTGGTAGATTTCCAGCGCAAGTTGGAAAATTATGTTTAACATCAGAAAAAAAAATCTATTTTTATAATGTTAAATGATTAAGCTAAGAAAAAGAAAGTGAAGTATCATTTAGGACAGTATCTTTGGATTATATTATATGATTAGGGATTAGATGAGCTCCAACAGGAGCTCATCTAATCCCTAATGAACTTTAAGAAGATTTAATGAGCCTTCCAAGAAAGCAAGCATCAGCCCTGGACAAAGCTTGAACAGGAACTCTGTGTGTAATGGTCTGTTTCTGGCATGTGTTATTGTGGTTGTGTTCCCACCCCCCTCCTACCCTCTAACGCCTTAAGGAAGACATTAGCAAGGACTGTCTGTCTTTGACAGCTTGTCAAAGCAAGTAGCTTCCACAAATAGTCCAGCTGACAGACTAACTGTAGCGAGCAGCAGCATTATAAGACATATTTTACAAAAGGTTGTGGCTAAAGGGGTGGACTGTTATGTAACTGTTAGGTAATGATTAACCCAAACAAATCTGGGGCTGGTTGTTTTCACTCGTGTTGCCACTTAAGTATGATTTGTGCATTAATGGCCTTTTAGATAGAGTTTACATGTGTTGTTGATTGCATGTAATGGCAGATTACTTAGATTAGACAGAGCAGTATGAACATCTGTCAAGGACATGTACCAGCTGAGAAACTGATCCAAGTCGGCCACAATGCTCCACCTCTGTACAGAGTATCATCATTTAGTACCTACTTTTTTCCTCTCTGATGTGAGCAGGTTTGAAATTCATGATA